TTTGAAATCTATGTAGACCACCACCACTTGCTTCCTCTGTCCCAAACACTCATTAACATCGTCCGCAAACTGCGCCAATGCCGTTGCCGTGCTCCGCCCACGTCGGAAACCATGCTGTGCATTAGACAATATATTGTTGTTTTCAAGAAAAACACTGACCTGATTCATAATGAACTTTTCCATAATTTTATTTATAACACATAGTATCGCTATTGGCCTATAATTTGAGTAATCATTGTGCGATCCTTGTTTAAATATAGGTCTTATTAATGCAGTTTTCAATTGATCAGGATACAAGCCTTTTTCAACACATAAGTTAATGAATAACGCTATTATAGGGCTCAGTTTGGTTTTAAACAACTTTATTTCTCTAACTCTAATTTTATCAATACCTTCAGACTTATCAGTGCTCAGTGCATTAATTAATTTATCTACATCCCTCGGGTAGGCTTTTTGAAACCGTATTGACATGGTACATTTATTGACATAGGTAGATCTGTTTAAGAACTTATGACTACAAATATGTTTTGCATCTAAAATTTCTTTTGTAAATGTTTCTGAAAATTTATTACAAATATTATTTATACTTTCCGTCCTTCCTAGATATTTTAATATCACTGAATCTACTCTATTTTTCTTTTTTCCTATCCAAGAATTAATTTTGGCCCATATTTTCCTAATGTTTTTATTACACTTTTTAATTTCTTCTTGACGGTATCTTATTTTCGCTTTATTAATACATTTATTTACCCTATTCCTATATGTAGTATATTGAAGCCGTAAGTTCATATCTTTCGGTTTACTTTTCCAATATTTGAATAGTTTGTCCCTATTAGCAATCATGTTTTTAAGTTGTTTTGTAATCCACGGTTTACTTGTCCTCTTTCCAGATAAAGAAACTTGGATTTTAGCATCTTCATAAGTATCAGAGAATTGTAGAAATTTTGTAATATAAATCCAACGGGCACTTACAATTCAAAAGCTCCGACCATGATACATTTTCAAGTTTTTCTATCACCTTCTTGTCACATATAATAGTCCTACACGAGTGTTCACATATTGATGAATAATTACTGTTCAGTTCTGAGTCATTCGCCGCGCACACACCTATAACATAGTGATCCGCCAACCTACATGTTAACACATACGCAGATATCACACGTCGAGAACGAACCCACACATGATCGATGCAAGACTGTGTCACCTTGTCTCCATACACTTCTTCCCGCGTTATGTCACGTAAAGCACATTCCATTCCTATCTCGCTCATATTGTTTGTGAATTGATTCGTATCACTAGAACCGGTTTGATTCAAAAGATCTATGTTCGTATCACCGATCAGTATCGCCTCACAGTCAGCTGATATTTCGGATAGTAGCTTATTCACTTCTTCAATGAAGCTACATTTATTTGTCATTGGTGGCCTGTATACAACCAATATGTGACTTATTCTCCTCCCATCTTGATGAAGCTGTCCATGTATCATCTCAAAGTAGCTCGATTTACCTGTATTCGCGGTAAAGTTTAGTTTGTTGTTTACATATAACAAAACCCCCCCTCCTCTTCTCGTTTCCCTTGTACTTATGTATGTATCATATCCTTCTATACTATATAAAGATAGTTCCTGCTGCTTTATATTAATTTCTGTTAATGCTATAATATCCAGTTTCTCCTTGCAATCATTTATCAAAACAAGTAATTCATTGAAGTTTTTTCTGAGTGATCTTATGTTTACGTGAAAAAGACGTATAGGTCTCTACCAACTGTACCTTGATATTTTTTCCGTTAAGGTTGTTTTGTCGTTTATAATTTATTGTGTATGTAATTCATATGTGTTAGAAAGTTATCATTTTTCTACAATAATGGTACTTACATTATATTTAATACACATTTTCATGTCATATTTTTTTTAAATAACTTCTGTTTTTGGGATAATCCTACTGTACATATGAATTATAATGTCTGTTAAAGTAAATAGCTCAACTTTTCGCAGTATTTTTTCCAATAAATAAGAATCAAATAATCTGTATCATCCTTTAATAAATGCCCCGCGAATGAGATATGACCACAGTTTTTAAATTAAAAAAATAATACTACACTTACTATTTGGAGGCATGGCAGTGCCCCCACCATAAAGTGTGTCTAAACTAGACTAACATAGAAGAGTGATTGTTTACAAAAACAATAGTTTTAATAAAAAAGATAGCATAACTACCCACCTAATTTACAAAATAGAAGATATACATTGAATAAATACATAAAAAATACAATAATAAAATTGTAAACATGTGTGTACTTATTACATTTGAAGGTCAAAAGGTTGAACCGCAAAACAAAACAATGCAACACTTGTGTTAAAACAATTGCTAATTAAATTTGAAAAAGGATAATTTCTTCTTCGTGTCATTAATTCAACTATGCACTGTACTGTAAGAGACAGAGAGACTGTATCTGCATAACAAGCAATTGCTAGGATATTGTAGTATCCAGATGTCTTTTCATTTCCATATGTTTGGTAGGTATATTAACTTCAATAGTTTTATAAACAAATGACTACAGGTTGAGTGCATTTCTTCTTGTCTGTCTAGAAACTTCGTAAATTATATGTAAGTAAATAAAATAAACTATTATTTTTTTTTAAACAGGAAATGTTTCAAATGTTAAAATTTTTATTATTTTCAGATGAAATGAAAGAGTTTGTTTCATGTATGTATTATTCACTAAACTTATAAGATAGACAAGGTTTAACCCGTCACTTTTTTTTATGGAATAGGAGGCAAACGAGCGAACCTGATGGTAAACGATCAGCGCCACCCATGGACACCCGCAACACCAGAGGAGTCACAGGTATGTTGCCGGTCTTTTAAAAAGGAATACGCTCTTTTCTTGAAGGTATGTAGGTTGTATTGGTTCAGAAATACCGCCGATGACAGATCATGAGACACAATGTATTTTCTATTGTCTCATATTGGTGCATTCAATCGGTTAACTGCCAATATGGACGCATGCCACTGTGTCTTTATGGTCAAGAATTTAAGAAAGGTTGTGTTAAAATCTTCTAGGTACCAGTCAGTTCTGTATTAATTAATATATAAGCCAGCAATCCAAGCAGTCACCGGTGACCACTCTCCACTTACTCCATTTTGGACATTATTTCTAATGATCAGATATTACTTTTGTATGAACAATTTGTTGTGGATTATTTGAAGATTAGGTTTTTTTTAAATGTAGGTATTTATTTCAATATTTCAATGTTCACAAGGACTAGAATAGAAATATAAAAAAGAACAGGCTAGTTATCAATAATTTCATGAATTGATACAACTTCAAACAGTGTTTAGAATATAATTAACATGTTAATCTTCATTATTTATTATTCTTAAAAATTGGACACATTTCTTCAAATTTAAACCCCGCATAATAGGTTTCATTTAATATTTTAGCATTTACTAACATTATAGTAATGAGTTACTCATAAATCTTTAAGTAAAAACTGGAGAAACTGCTACTTAATTTATGCGTCTACTATTAATAAGTAGGTAGCATATTGTTGTGTACTTTTTTTCACATTAAGTGGGTAATTGCTATAACTCCTAGAAATAGTAAAAAATATACATTGTATAGCGACACGTATAATCAGGTTAGAAGCAACGTTATAGGAGTTTCTTCATTTTTAATAGAATATTTTCATGACCAAGTAAGTTAATGTTGCGTAGGTATACTTAATACCTTTTAGAAAGTTGTCCCCATATGCGCTAACAATAAATGAGTCGTAGTATTTTCATAAAGTAATTACGTAGATTATACATAAAACTAATGAATTATTACCAAATCGTGACCAAATTAACCAATAAAACATAAGTTTTCTAATATCGATCGGCTTTCGGTGTCAGTCTCCAATAGAAATAAGCACGAACTTACCTAACGATGTGTCGCCACACCGCACTCAGTATTATTTAACTGTAAAATAGTCCTCGAATTCAATCAAAAGTTCCACTTAAAAACAAAAGCACTATGCACAATGTATATTTGCCGATTTTATTTTGTTTTTATCAAAAGCAAATCACGGAAACTAGTTGCGAAAACGAAAAAATTCTAAGATGGCGCCACAATGCAAATATTCTTTTGACATTAGACTAAAGTGTTGCCATTATCAAATAGCAGGCCTTCGTATTAGTAGTTTTTATTTTCGTCAATTGTAAATTTTACTACCTTAAAAAATGAAGCACATATTAATAAAAAATCTGTTTATCAAATATGTTTATTATGTATTTACTACACTTCTTTGGCTATCCAAATTTTCAAAAAGTAAATTATCAATTTTGTAAATGTTTATCAAAAATAGTAGCATTTTAATAAAATAAATATATCTAAGTAGTTTATTATCTAAACAGCATAAATGATATATTTCCTGCGCTTAGTAACAAATATGACGAGGAACTTATACCATAAGTCTTTTTCACAGTTTCAATTGAGCAAAATGCATTGTACACACGGCCACACATCAATCTATATAAAACCAGTAATATCCTGGTGTCGCGTCGCATCGTCTTTCCGCACATTTAACGTTCCGTTTATACTGGTTATGTAAAGCTCGATGTGTAGCCGTGTGTTTTTATCATAATTTACCAAATCATATTGTATCACTTAACAAACTTAACAATTATGTATGTACCTATATTAGTGGAGCATCAAAAAACTGAATGTAAATTCATTTTTATGAAGGAGCAGATCATATTTTACAGATTATAATAATTGGTGCTCATAAAGGTTTGCAGGGACCTTGACAATCTAAAATGGTCATACCTACTACCTAGTCTACCAGAATTTTAGTTTTTTTGCTGAACAAATGCATCATAAAATATAATCAAAAAATATGACAAATAAATACGATTTTTGTGCTCTACTATCCTTATTCTAAAACATAATACGATCAATGTATTATCATCATTGATTATGACGTAAGTATAATAAAAAGATTAAATAAATTACGAAATTCGTCATGCAAAGTCCACTCCAGTATCGAGTAAATCCCTGATAAGCACTGTAGCTTTTCGTGGTAAGATACGTAAAAGGTGACCGAGGTACAAAAGATGATTTGGCACTGATGCTTCAAAGTAATTCCGACGCACACTATCAAGAATTGACGTTGCTGCCTTGTTTGGAGTTATTGTTCCAAAATAACTTGGAATTCTGTAACAAAACCAAAAAAGATATAGACAATATTCTCTACTGTCGTATATTAAATAAAAAACTACACCACGGTGTTTACCCAAAGCAGGAACTGGCTTTGTAATTTGAAAAGTATTGTTATTTTATGAAACAAATGGCAATGTAATGAAAACATACTAAATAATACGTAAAATTTAATCCCAATATACCAACTGTAAGAGAATATACATTGCATCACCTTTCTTGTAATATAGAGTGTAATGTAATATACTTCTATTACTTATACCAAAATTCATTTATTCTTACACTTCCATCAATTATATTTCATTAATAGTGTATTTTCTATTTTTTAAGGTGTGATTTATATTTGTTTTGTTGTTTTCGTAACCGATTTGGAAACAAAATGAAATAGTTTGTATCTTCATACAAACGTCATGTCTAATGTTGTTGCACATTACTACGAGAGTGCAATCTTACAATTTATATTTCTTTTGATCTTTTGTCGTAGCTAATAAATTTCTTGTATAAGAAAATAGTGCAGAATTATTGATGCATCCATACCTTAATTTTATTTCAGCACTTTCGTCACTGACAATAAATGGATAAATATGTGTAAGTGTCACATGTACTCCATCTATTTTGTTTACTCTTAGGTCTTCTGTAAGAGATTCTGCAAGTCCTTGAACTGCAAACTGGGCAACACTTAGTGGCATCTGATCTTTGATGTAGCTTAGTCCAGCAACAGATGTTAGAGCAACAATATGCCCATGATTCTTAGCTTTCATATCAGGCAGGAAGTGATCAATTAGCTGAAATAAAATTAAGAAAACAGGTTCTTTTCAAACTTCACTTCAAATATTACTGGTACCTACAAATATCATTAAAAATACATACGGAAATTATTTTAAATGATATTGGTGATTATTTATAATCTAATAATATAACATAAGATGTAAAAGTATTACTTTGTAAATTATTTCTAAAATTAATCAAATAATTAAAATGCAAATTAATTTTCAATTTCATAACTGTAGTTCCTTACCCAAAAATATGAAGTGAGTGTCAAATCTAGCGTCTCATGAATGTCCTGTGGAGGCTGAGTCATCAATGACCTTGGACTTGGAATTCCACAACAATAGAACAACATACTGACAAACCCTAGATCTTTTTTCAGCTGAGAAGCTAAAGTGTGAACATTTTGTCTCTTGGTGATATCACATTTGTAGCTGATGGCAGTACCACCTTTCTTTTTTATCAGTTCTACGGTGGCCTCATTGGAAGAACTGTTTTTGTCCACACACACAACTATTGCTCCCAAGCTAGCAAGTTGTATAGACAGTTCGCGGCCTACCCCTCGTCCAGCACCAATAACCTGAAAATTATATAAACAGAATTTATAAAAAGATAGAAATTCCTATTCCCATGCTGTATTTTACGATAATACATAATCCATATAATACCGCTATAAATAATATGCATACGAAAGTGATAAAATTTATCTGTAAGGTTAAATTTTTGTTCAAATTTAGCTAAATGGATTTAGATAAAGATATTCACTTACCAAGGCAGTTTCCAACCGGACTGATTTTAATGGTGGTGGTTTAAATAGTTCATAAACAGCTTGTAAAACTGCACAGATTGCGTTCAGCAATACCCATCCAATATCCACCATTAAAATGCACAATGAATAAAGCCTTAACAACATTTTGATTGGAAAAAATATGTTCAATACTATTCCCAATATATTACTGAACAGTGTTGGGTCCTGTAACGTCAATATAATAGATTAAACAAAATGGTTAAACGTAGGGACTATCAGTATGTGTGAAGATAAGTTTTAAATAAACACTCAATTAATTTGATAACTTGTAGGTAGGTGTTTCTTCAATGAAAAATGTTTATCTTAACGCCGGTAACTTACAATACACATATAAACTACCTCCTTTATTCTACATATAACCCATTTGATATATTCACCCACCTACCTTTTTATTAGAATAATCCATGGTATTCATCATAGAAGCAAAAAATAACCAATTCTTTTTTACGATCACAGAATCACAGATCACTTATGCAGTATATTTGATAATAACACACAACTGTACTAAATAACAATAATTTATGATTATGACCGGTAGTAGATAAGAATTATGAAATTTCTTGAGATAAGAATAACCAAAAATATTTGTTTACAGCAGAAGTTGATTGTCAAGTTGATTGGTATTCTGACAGTAGCTTTAAAGTTCTATTCGTATTCATACTTACATTTATTGAAGAGATATAAGCAATTAAAATAATTATAATATCAAAATGTTTTATGAATACTCATTAAATCTAATTTTATAATAATTATAATTACCCACAAGTATTAAAATGTTAGGTATTTGTTTTTTAACATACTGTAGGTAACCTTAAACCATTTTGGTAGAAATTTAGATAAACATATGGCTACACTTTGTTCGTTCAGAAATAGGAAATCAGAAGTTCAGATGGGTTTTAAAATTTTTTTTTGGTTCCAAGAACCAATCTATAAAAATGTTATGTTTGTTGATGTGGGTGATATTTTTGTACTTTATACTAATAAAAACTTAATGTAACATCAATATCCGATTAAATGCTTCGTAAAGAAAAATAGTAGATGTTAATGTTTTTTTTAACTGTGGTCTACTTTTATTTCCACAACATTTAAAATTTTAAATAATATGGAAAAATAAATATTTATCGAGTAACAATTCAACAAATACAGTAAAAAAATGTATCCCACTGACAGTCATTATTGGCAATTTTGGCAAATCAAATGTCAAACACAAAAGTCAATAATAATGGTCATGCATGTCAACAATATACTACGTTTTTAATATAATGTAATCGAATTTTCTCTTATTTCCTTAATAAAACATTGTACAACCGTGAAGCAAATAATTTTACATTTAGGTGCATTGTGCTGAACCGTTTCGCCAATAAAATAAAATATTATAGAAAAATGGCATTTGTTTACCCAGGAGACCCCGAGCTAGAATCGAAATCTAAAAAAGGTAACTAAAGGTCTACCTATGTAACTCTACTTTTAATCATTCAAGAAAAAAACAACCTCATCGGATGTGGTTTTTTTATGGAATAGGAGGCAAACGAGCAGACGGATCACCTGATGGTAAGCGATCAGCGCCGCCCATGGACGGGTGTCCATGGGCGGCGACACCAGAGGAGTCACAGTGAAGGCCAAATTTTCAGTCAATAATAAATAAATGAGAGAGAGAGAGAGAAAACAAAGTAATACCCTCATCATAGTTGTCATTTCTAAATACATTTTAAATTTTTAAACCATTTAATTCAACTTCTCGCTTTTTAATTGTGGTTTGTTAAATTTTTCAGCTGCTGAACGGATTTCGGAGAATATGCATATAGTTGCGAATGAGCCTTCACTGGCACTGTATAGATTGCAAGAGCATGTGAGGAAGGCCTTGCCGCCGATGGTAGAACGAAGAGTTGAGGTGACGAAGCTGCAGCATGAGTTACAGGGCAGGTGCTATGATGTGGAGTATGCTTTAAGGTAATTATGTTCATTAGTTTTGTAGTGTAAATAATGCTTAGTAAAAATGTTAATGTTACAATGTTTATTATTTAAGTTCGTGTTCACAAGTACCTTACTACTACTACCCTTACTGAATTAATTGTTATGTTTTAGGCTTGTGCATGTAACTGTTTGACGAGGAACTGCAGCTCATACTCATTCCCTTAGAGAACAGTTACTTGAGTAAGCCAAAAACGTAATAATTAATTTAGTGTCTTACGAAAGTATTAATATAAACAAAGTAACTACCTTACTTTCTAGAACATACTTTTACTTGAAGTATGTTTTTCAGTAGAGGTTTATAGGTTTAATGATGACAGGGTACGAAAATTAAAAATCGAATTAGTCCATCAGTTAGGTAATGAAAAAATATTGACACATATTTTTTTATTTTGCCGTATAAGAAAACAAAACTTACATAGTTACATCATTTTAGAGTACAAACCATACTCAAAAGTGACGTCATGCGATATTTCAAATCAATATATCTTCGAAACTATTTGTTTCTATAAGAAAATATAAATACATGTCTAATGTTTTTAAATAATCTACCAGATGGATAAAAATAAAAATAAAAATTAGTCATCTGCCCTATTGTGCCCTATTATAAGTACAGGTTTATTGAATACCAGCAACTTATTTTCAGATCTGATAACTGTGTTTGTAAAATAATAATGAAGTGTCAAATATTCTTGTAACAATTTAAAACCTTACATCAATACCTTATACATTTTAATAACACAATTCTAATTGTATGTCAATTTATAATTCCAGTGCAGTAAAGTCAATGGATGGTGCCGCAACAAGTTTCAAGAACATACAGGAGATGTTGAAGCAATCAATATTTTTAAAACAACAATTAAAATATGAAGAAGCTAGGAGAAATAAAAAGGACTCTAATTCTGTTTATAAACGTCTCTCTGCTCATATTGTTCTTGACCTACCAGATTTGTCCGAGTTCTCTATGGTTCGGGAAACTACGAATAGAATTGAGAATATGATGGCCCAAGCTAGAGGATCTTCTGCTGAGCTGCATAGGTCTCACACCACTTTGCACTGAAAGAAATACTTTTTATTTGCTTAATTATTGATCTCATATTTATGTGAACACTGGTTTTGCCTTGCCAGACCCTTGTGCTTACTTGCCTATGTGTTCTAATTAACAAAGAACTTACAATCTCATTGTTTTTAGTGTATTAGTGACTGCCTGTCCTAATTGCAGTTATTTAAGATATTAATTTGCTACACTTCCAAACACTACATAAAAAATCAAAGCTTTTAAGTAGTTTCTGCTTTCAACATATTATACTGTTGTTGGAACATTTATCACCATTACTATGTAGATTGTGCAAAGTATATAAATCCTAGAAAGCACTAACACAGCTAGAAAAAGGAACACTATTCAGGGTGTCCAGTAAATAGTGCACCATACTGTAAGGGGTAATAGCTGGTTATAGCGTGATATCGGCAAGAAAATTATTTTACGAAAACTGACACAAGTCACCTGCAGCTGTAGCCAAATGCCACTTAACGCTTGTCTACATGTAGAATAGAAAACCAAATTATATGGAATTGACGTAAATTTTGACACTTGTCAGTGTACCCCATACGTTTTGATTTCTACTCTCTCTGTAGACAAGCGCTAAAGTGGTTTTTGGCTAAAGACCCAGGTCAATTTGTTAAGTTGGTAGTTATTGTTTTCCGAACTTGGTATGATGCTATAAAAAAAGTAGGCTAGGGTTATGCTAGAAAGTATTATGTAGGTTTTAGTACAACAAAATATTATTAAAAATAGTTATGTAACTTTTCGAAGGTGCTCGACTAGTTTCGAGCAGCGACAGGGGCTCATAATTATGGATACAACTGGCCAAATAAGTTGTCGTGAATGGCTATGTGTACCACTGGCATGAACAAGTCGAATACCCTGGAGTTGTTGAAAAGTGTTAGTTAACCGTAGTATCCTACAAAGTCTTTTAATAAAACAATTTCAATTGTTTTTAAGTTTTTCCCATAATGGTACGTCCACGTCTGACGTCTCACGAGCATCTCACTGCGTGTTGGTAATATTCGTGATACGTCCGCGTATCGCGAACGCCGCATTCGCCAGATGTGGATGCACCATTATGGAAAGTGCTTATCACTTGTACAGAAGTGAAGGTTTTTCTTTAGATCATTCTAAGTATTTTGAGCCTACTAACAAAAATTTGTCTTAACAATTTTTCATGTGTTATTAGGAGCTTCCTTCGTTAATAAGCTTGCTTAGGTTTTACATAGGTATGTGGGATTATGGACTAACATTAATATCGTAGCTTTAGCATAATGTTTTTATAATACTTCGCTTTATCATGTAATAAATATGGCTAATCTATGTAGAGTGACCAGCAAGCCAACTAACTTTCATCTGTTAATTGTTCTCATTGGATTTTCTACTTTATATCAAAGTTATACGGTTGAAAATCTAAAAGAAAGAGTTTAAAGAAAGGAGTATGTTAATGTAAGGTCGAGAAACTGTTGAAAAATAGTATTTATTATTATGGTCGACTTTATGTATGTACCTTTAATAAAGTATGTATAATGGTTCTGTTTAGACAAATATTATCCTTACACAAAGGTCGTAAAGTCCAAATGAAATCAGCTCTCTAAATAAATGTATATTAATTTAGCCAGGATCGATCTGACTGTTTGAAAAGCGTTAAAATCAGTAAGTATAACTACAGAACCTTTTGCTAAAAATACAATGTCATTGCTTGGTGTGAATATGTATGCTAACATTGTAAATATGAAACCTATCAGTATTATTTTGTTAACTAACTATAATATCTAACTTTTGAATATAAAGTTTTAATACTAACCACTGCAATTCCGCTTGTTTTTGTTGCATGCTACTAACAATTTAATTAACAATTCATTCACATATGTCGGAATACTGAAACGCTACTCAAATTAAGTCGTGCATAAGTATAGTTCTATGTCTACAAATTCTTTGTGAAATGACAGAGATGGCACGATATTTGACCACGACTTAAAATTGAGTAAAGTTTCAGTATTCCGGCATTAGCTAGGTTTTATTTAGCTTAGGTGGTAATTGAGAGTAAGAATCAAATTGAACAAGGGGACAGGGTACATTCATCCTTTTGAAACGTTGAGAATTCAACAACTTTGGGAACGACATTGACCTCCTATGACCCTGTTCAGTTCGATCCTTACTCCAGGGACACTCCATAGACCACAGTGGTTTATAGTAGGTACCACTACGCACATTATTGGCTATGTGCGCGACGGTGGCGACGCGTAGCGTTTACAACATTTGCGGAAGCTGTCAAATAATAACAATGACAATGTAAACATTATAATTTTCTTTGCAAATGTAAATAAAACCAAAGATTAACATAGTATTGTTGACATTATTTAAGTGCAATTTATTGAATAGTTTTACTGTAAAATGAATATAATAATGAAAACCGGGTTTCCATCATCCGCATTTGTTTCTAATTTCTACCGGTGCGCTGCGGTCGTTATCTGTCCGCCACTACTCGCTTTGCACATAGCCAATAGTGCTACTTTTAGCCAAGGCACACATTTAGGCAAAACGAACAAAAGACAGAATTTTCATATTGCATTGACTGCACGGTTGGTGTGACACTTTGTGTGATCCACAAATTGTTGTTTCGGGTCTGGGTGTCATTGTGTATGTGAACTTGTATGTTTGTAAACGCACCCACGACACAGGAGAAAATCATAGAGTGGGGCAACGTTTAAAAAAAAAATGAAACTTAAACTCTCACTAGTTTCTAGTTAAAAAAAAATTTGGTCATATTCATCAGACACGATCGAAACGTCATCGCGTTTAGCTCTTTAATTGGTTGCTCCACGTTAATCAACCAATCAGAAGGCCAAAAGTCCTCAGAGCCTCCCCAGTCCCTTCCAAATGATTAATGACCAACTTTTGGACTGCAGGAAAGTTGGCCTCGGCTAAATTATCTGTAAAATCAGTAAGTATTGGTGCGGTCAGAACCAAGTGTCCTACAGATATAGGTCATATATAGATAGATCCGTTGTGTCTACAGTCAGCCACGCGCTACATGTGGTATGTCAATTCCGTGTAGTCGTATAGTATACTAGATTGGTACGTATTTAGCTACAATTTATCTAATAAACTACGATCAAATAATAAAGGTACAACTATCGTAATAACATTTTATTCAAGTATACCACTTCTTAACAATGCAATTAAACTTTCTTAGAAGTAATTAAATTACTTAAATCAAACTTAAACAATATGGCCTCTTATTGAAAATTAAACTAAAAGAATGTCATGTCCAGACAAAATATCAGGTAACAGAAAAATACCTATTTTAAAATCTGATCGGTACTTACTAGGTCCGAATCGGAAATTATGCCCGAGACCTCGCTCTCAGAGTTGTAGCTCAATTGACGAAGAAGTTAGAGAGTAATGTTTTAAAATTATAAACGAAATAAATGAAAAAAACAATAAAATAAATAAAGGAAAAATGTACCTACATATGTATATAATTTAGGACCCTACTAATAAAACCTTAGAGCTAAGAAAGATACAGAAGTCTTATCTATGAAACATAACAGACCAAGGGAGCTCTTTCAGTCTTGTAATATCATACTTTTGTTCAAATGGAACCAGTTTATTTAGAGCCTTCTTTTTGGGCACGATCTGTGGCTTGATAGACATTACTTTTTTAATCCACTTCCAGGAACAGACTCCTTTGGCCCGATAGTTACCAGTGCTCTGGTTAATTATTGTGTTGTAAATATAATCTATAGGGATTACAGTGATTATGTATGAGTAGACTTCTCTGTTTTCAGCTTTCAAAGCCTCCATTTTTTCAAATATTCCCGCCCAAGTTAAGTCTGAGTCCAGTACTTGGATGTTTACAAGGACCTGCGAGTTAAAAGATTTTAGAAATGATTTATGACACGATGTAGAAATTAAAAAAAAAATACCTAAAATGTTGCCATCCTTAACGACCTCCGGTCAGAGGGTAGGTTAGGTATACCTAACCTACTAACTATAGTTAGTACCTACCTATTTCACTCAAAATACGAGGCTCAGCTAAAGAGCTCAATGCTCGAAGCAAGCCATAAAAAAGCTATAGGGATTAACTGTATATTTAGCAGATCTAATGCAACAGGAATAGGCTCCATAGCAGTTTCTTTTCATCATTTTCTAGGAAAGAGGGGACAATCTTCGAAGCTTTACGGACACCAGGTACCTACCATGACAGCCTAATTGGAATCTATTAAAAAAACATAAAATAGTCAATTACCTCTGTTGTATCATTGAGAACAAAATTCCTGAAGTATCTTGCGAACATAATAGTGACATCGACCTCGTCCTTGAGATGCACAACGACGGTGTATCCCTTCTCACTGTATCGCTCTACCATGTTGTCAACAGAATCCACGTCAAAAATATGACCGTCCAGCATGATGGCCAGTTTGTTTGTCACTGGCATGTGGCTCTCGATGCTGAGATCAAAGAACGATTAAAATGCTAGTTAATAAAACCGTGTCAAAGGTAGTCGTAACAGGAATAGATATTTTTTGAAGATGATTCAGAAAAAGGAGGAAGTAGTAGATAAAATGAAAATGAAGTCAAGAGAGACTCGAATCAAAACAGTGTTCCTAAATCCCGATGGAGATTATGGAAGTATCTATAACGTAGGTACTACGGTTTCTTCTCTTAAATCTTTTTCATATTATATATCATAGACATATTAATGACTCTGTCTGGAATTTTATTGAATAGATTCTGAATTAATGAAAAAATTAGAATTTTAATGACTATCTGAGCACTACCTAATTACCTGCTAGAACTAATGAAGATAGCATGCCCTCTCTTCCTAAGCACGTTGAGAATGGAGTACATGGCTCGTCTCACAGAATGTTCCTGGTAGGCAGTGCACTCATCCAGCACGATGATAGGAGGTGCTCCAATCACTGCCGCAGCAAAGTGCAGGCGAGTAAGATCGTTCGCGTGAATGTGTTCAACATACTGTTTTGAAAGCTCTTGTAATTCTGTGTTCAATAGGAGCGACACAGTTAGATAATTGAACTACCTATACAAGGTGTAGTTTTGAAACCGTGTCATTTCTCGGGGGTATGTCACAGAAGTCATAAAGGTTCAATGTAAGATAAAATTTTGGGCCAATAGTTACCTAAAAATACGGCTATAATAAATCGTTTATGTTCGACAGTATTTCAGAATAAGCGACAGCAATGTTTCTTTTTGGAGTTTTATGGAATTAGGAATAATGTTAATTACGTGGTTGAGTTTGTGTGTGTTAAGCCGCGTATGAAGCCAGTTACAAGACGGCGGCGTGTACTTCGCACTTATGGATTTCCGTAATTTCAGAAAAATTAAAAATATTTACCTACAATTTTTTTTTATTCATTTGGACTCAGAATCGATAGCCTCCTAGAAAATGACGCGGCTTTAAAACAACACCTTGTATAAAATACAGGTGGTCATCATCGCTGCTCAAGCCTTTCTTTTCTCTTACTTATAATTTGAGATCAACACATTACCAGCAGGAAGACTACTACTGTCTTTTCCAAAGAGAACGGTAGGAATAGGAACCGTAATCCCGGGACCGTCATAGTTATTACCAAATCGCTACACTCTACAGATAATGGTATACTAATTGATTTACCAAGAGCCATGATATAGTTTTTAACTTCATCTTTTATGAACTTGCGAGGCACTCCTCGCAGTGCAGCAATGAGTTCCAGAGCGGATCTGGCCACCATCCACGAAGGTAGCAGGTCGCGTTCGCAGCTGATGGATACTTGCTGACTATACTGTACCATAACACAGATCGTCGTCAAATAAGATTCCATCGCAGATCAACTCTGCTATAACAGTTGGTTAACAATATTAATTGCGCAAAAACTTGTAAACAGTGCCTTTAGCCAAACGCCACTTTAGCGCTTGTCTACATAATAATATGTAGAGTAGAAAACTAAATGTATGGGGATGACACTGACAAGTATCAAAATGTACGTCAAATCCATATAATTTAGTTTTCTATTCTACAAGTAAACAAGTGCTAAATAGCATTTGACTACAGCTGCTGGGGTTCCATTGTTTAGCGTGTAAATGAAACAAATTAACAATCTTATTAGAATAGGGGGCCACCCATAGTATAGTACCTATATTGCACAGCCAAGGTAAAGAAAACGAAGTTATCGCTAAGATAAGAAAACGATAGCTAAGCAAAGCGTACTCGTATAGCATCATCATTAGCTCATCTCTTTCCAGTATATACTAGCTTCTGCCCGCGACTTCGTATGCGCGCAATCCCGTTTTCTCCCGTTCCGACTTTTTTTCTGACGTAAGAACCTTCTCCTGACAATAACAAACACATCAAAAATCAGCCTACATCGGTTTAACCGTTGTCAAGTTACGGCGTGATAACGGGAAACGGGTTTCATTTATATATATATATATATCCTTACTTAATATTATAAATCTGAAAGTGAGTTTGTTTGTTTGTTCCACTTTCACGCCGTAACTACTCAACCGATTGCTTTGAATTTTTAAAAACGTAAAGTCAGAAGTCCGGATTAAATAATAGGGTTTTTAACCCAGAAAAAAATTATATTTCCGAGGAAAAAAAAAGTATTGGTATAAATGGCGCTTTGTGTATTGATATATGTATGTCACATAGGCTATTTTTTATTCTTTAGTGACGCGAGCGAAGCCGCTGGTAAAAGCTAGTAGATATATATATAAATATACCCAGCAGTCTTACTTACCTTATGCGGTTGTGTTCTCAGTTTATATTTTGACATGGCCCACACGTTGCCTACATCTGGTGTCTTGTACCCCGCCAGTATTTCACCCAGCGTGTTACGTCCCTGTTGTTTGAGTCCAGACAATGCCAATGCTTCTCCTCTTCCAATCCCGAGGTACACGTTGTGGACCGCGTAGAAATTGCCAACTTTCTTTGCCACATTTGATGCCAACACATAGTCTCCGAAAGTGTCCACCTTTTCATCTGAAATTTTTATTTAACATAACATAACATCACGCCTTTTATTCCCGAAGGGGTAGGCAGAGGTGCACATTATGCCACTGTACAATGTAACACCCACTTTTCACTATTTATGTTATGAGTCCCATGTTATAGGGGGTCAGCCTATTGCCATATACCGGGCACAATTCCAGGCTCCGTGCTACTACTGAGATTTTTTGAAAAAGCCTAGTAATACTTTGCTTAACCCGGGAATCGAATCCGAGACCCCTTGCCCGGCAGTCGCAATCGCGACCACTCGGCCAACGAGGCAGTCAGTCAAATTTTTATTTATTATTTCATAATAATTAGTGGGGGTTATTATATTTCCAGCTTGAATTTAATAGTAGTGGTTTGTATCATTGAAGCATTCCAGGCGTGTATTCAATAGAGTCTAGTGCTAAACAAATTGGGCTCGCTGCCATTGCAGCGGTAAGTCCCCTCTTTGAGGAGTGGCTTGAGAGACGCTACGGCGTCCTCACCTACCGCCTGACACAGGTCCTCACCGGACATGGAAGTTTCGGGAGGTACCTGTGTCTGATGGGGCGGGAGGAAACGCCCGGGTGTCATCACTGCGAGGACCGCCCTGAGGACACGGTGGAACACACCGTAGCGGAATGCCCTGCGTGGGCTGAGCACCGCCGTGCCCTCAGGGAAGTGATCGGCGATGGCGACCTCTCGCGTCCGGGCCTAGTGCAGGCCATGATGCGGAGCGAGGGGGACTGGGATGCCGTCTCCTCCTTTTGCGAAGCAGTCATGCTAGCTAAGGAGGAGGCGGGACGCGTGAGGCAGCGAAGCGCTGCCTCCTCGCAACCCAGCCATCGGGCCAAGCCAAGGACACACCGGGCGTCGGGGATCGTGGGACGATCTCCGGCCACCGTAAGCGCGGGCCTGCGGACGGCGAGCATGGGTGGCTCCCCGTCCGACCAGAAACAGACCCGAGCGTACGGCGCGTAGCGTTCCGCGCGCGCCTCAAAGAGCCATCAGACCACCACAGATGGGGCCCAATAGGGCCGATGCCGATTCGGAGTCGCGGAGAACCTAACGGGTAACCGGGGCTCCGGCTCGACGTGCAGGAGAAGGAACGGGGTGGTTTTTAGTCAGTAAGAGTCTGACACTCCCTTCCGCCTCACCCAGGCGGGAGCAGTCATTCGATGATTTTCCCCCCTTAAAAAAAAAAAAAAGTGCGAAACAAATCATTGGACAGTAAATTTTCTACTGCTACGGTGATGGGACTCTACGCTACAATAAGGGGGCGTCCATAAATTACGTGAGATGTTTAAGGGGAGGAGGGGTTAGACGCAAATTTCATTTAATCTTACGTTGGAGAAGGGGGGGGGGGGGGTCGGAAAATATCATGTAATTTTTTTTTGATTGAAACAAAAAAAAATACTATTTTAGTTCATTTAAGTAATCCAGATTGTACATGCTTAAGCATTAATTGTACCTACATACACATGGTTTTTTTTTCTTTTTACAAAAACAATCCAACGCGTTTACGTGAAAAACCAACATTTGGAAAAATCTCACGTGTGATTGGGCATGGGGGAGGGTATTGGATAAAATCTCACAAAATCTCACTAGGGGGAAGGGAGGGACAGAAAATTAAAAAAAAACACCTCACGTAATTTATGGACGCCCCGTAACGTCACTGCGCTCATTAGACGAGACTGCTGTCACAATTTGCTTAACCAGGTAGACATCCGCAAGAAGGTCAAAAAAACCTCCTTTATGGATAAATGTAATGTAAATAACACTTACTGTGTTTAGTTTTCCCGATCTGTTGCCTCTTGTTGAACACGTCAAACTTCTCTCGTTCACTGCCAGGTGTCCGCAATTCAACCTGAGGTTTGTCCCTGTTACCTAACTTAACAGTCCCATAATTCCATAAACGGTAGAATATTCTATATTCAATGAGCAGAAGTAGAACAGTGAAGAAGACAGCTGTAGTGCACGTCGCAATCACTTCCATGACCACTCCAGGGTAGCGGGTGAAATAACTTTTTCTCGAGAAACAGTCTTGGAGAACACCGCATTTTTCTAAAAGATAAAACGTAACAGCCTCAACTTCCCAAAACCGCTGCAACTCCTGTTAGCCAGGAATTCCAGTAGTTACAACAACTATGAAAATAACGGAACACTGAAGTCCGGCGCGTCCCAGGACATGAATAACTGTCTTGGTTCGCAACGAAATAAAATTATAATAATAAAAAATGTAACAAAATATTCTAAGAAGAAAAGAAAAAACAGTCCCTCATAATCTACTGCTAGACTATATCTAGAAGACCATTCCTCTACATAAGAGCGTTTGCAATAATACCCCTTAGCAAGCGGGTTAGAAGCGGCATCAAAGGTTCCGTCTTCTACTTTGCCGGCAGTATCAGAATAAGGCTTGCTTTATTATTCTAGCATAAATAAATAAATAGATATGGACCAGAAAGCACATCATTATTTTATCAGGCCCAGGACGTCCACTGCTGAACATAGACCTCCCCAATGACTTCTAGATAGGCGGATGGAATCGACCCGCATCACCTCCAGCAAAATTGCTATTGGAAATTATTGTAAGACTAGCTACTTGCGCGCGGTTTCACCCGCTCTGCTCGGCTCCTATTGGTCGTAGCGATATGTTTTATACCCTATAGCCTTCCTCGATAAATGGGCTATCTAACACAAAAATAATTATTCAATTCGAACCAGTAGTTTCGGAGATTAGCGCGTTCAAACAAACAAACAAAAAAACAAGCTTTAGCTTTCAGCTTTATAATATTAGTATAGATAATGCAGGAGCCATACTTACGGCAGCATTTATGAAATGTATTAAGTGGACAAAGATTCCTGCTCTCGAATATGACACACTCGCTGTTGTACAAAAATATCTGCTTTATCTTCACAAAGGCGTACGCCATATTGAATTGAGGAGAGAGACTCATAAAGTCCACGGCGTAACTGAAAACATCGCCGTAGAATATTTTTGCTAATATTGTCGTTTCACCTGTGAAGAGGAATAAAGAAGTGTTGTGGTATCTACCCATTGCAATTAATTACATGACATATTTATAAACATAGAAAATAATTCTTATTGGTTGAAGAGATATGTGTAGGTACTCAATTTAGATTTGCGTTTGGTCTTTCTGCTATGAATTTAATGAATAATCTTATATCTTATCTTATCTTATATCTTATCTTATATATATATAAATTAAACCCGTTTTCCGTTGTCACGGCATCACGCGTGAATGGCTAGACCGATTTTACTAATTCTCTTTTTATTTTATTTGTTATTATTAGGAGAAGATTCTTAAGACGAAAAAATCTTAAAAATCCTACGGGAACAGGAGCAAACGGGATTGCGCGGACGAAGTCGCGGGCAGAAGCCAGTTGGTTATATTTTAATTCCATTTCCATTAATCACATTTCACTAAAGTTTTTAATCAACAGTCACGTACCAAAAACAAGGTTGACGATGACAAATGTCATAGTATTCAGAGCCATCCGAGGTCCCAAACTGAAGATGTAGGCTTGAGGCACACATCCAATCCCATACACAGTCAACATGAAAGGAACTATAACTGTTGAAATAAAAAACATACATTTATCAATAAGTGGACCAAGAACAATTGTCTTAAGTAGAGATTAGGTCTTCAAAGTAATCCTGACAGTGAGAAAGTAGACATGTTATCATCAACGTGATCATCTTTTTTAAGGCATAAGCCGGTAAACGAGCATATCACCTGATGGTAAGCAATTGGCGTCACCTATGGACACCTGGAACACCAGAGGCGTTACAAGTGCGTTATCGGCCTTTTGGGGATTAGGAGTTTGAGGATGGTTGGGGATTCGGGGATTGGGGAGATGGAGGGGGGTAAATGGGCCTCCGGTATCCTCACTTACACGACAAAATACAACGCAAGCGTTGTTTCACGTTGGTCTTCTGTGAGGCCGTGGTATCGCTCCAGTCGAGCCAGCCCATTCGTGCCGAAGCATGACTCTCCCACACTTACTACTGAACAAAATCCTCTTTAGGAACCGGCGACGGAGATGACAGAGGGTTATGGCAATCTTTATTATTATGTATCACATGTTAACTATACCTCTCATGACCTGCGAGGTGCTCAATGTGTTATTTATTGTGTACTCATGATTATGTGCTCTAGTGTGGCTCGAAACCAGTCGAGCTACTGTGACCTCTAGTAAACCGTAAAATAGCAAAGTACCATTGCAATAAAACTCACTTAGATCGACATACTTCATATGTGTCATAGGTATAGTGGCGACCATGATGGCGATCATTACGAAGCTCATTATACCGACCAGTATCCAGTACAGCAGTAGGTCCCAGAAGTACAGACTCAACCAATACCGGGCCGGGGAGAAGTTCATTGCATGTTTCTGTAAATTGCAGTGGAAAGATAAAGAGACGGTGATTTCTGGTAGAAAATATTCAGACTCGAACAAGCAATTAGTGGGTTACACAATTTTTTTTTTTTACTTTACTCACTTATATTGTTTCATGCAGGAGAAGTCGTAGCGACGCGCTATGCCGAGAACGTTGGTCGCCGAAAAGAAATTGCAAAATTCGCCAATAGCGATACAAAATAGTAGACTGCATGGTTGGTGCGGTGGCTGGGCAACCGGCTGTCGCGGAACGTGTCGCGGGTTCGATTCCCGCACGGAACAACACTTTGTGTGATCCACAGATTATTGTTACAGGCCAGGGTGTCATTGTGTATGTGAATTTGTATGTTTGTAACCGTACCCATGACACTTGAAAAAATCCGAAAGTGGGGCAGTTTAAAAAAAAATACATTAAAAGAATAATTTCCGTCACTTTGCACTGTAATAAGATAATAATAAGGAAGCAGATATACAATAATCATCAAGGTCCGATTAAATAGGTTGCTTACGGGACGACTTGCTCGTAGACCGCATCATCGCTTACAAAGTTACAACCAGAGCATTTAGCCAAACGCCACTTTAGCGCTTGTCTACAGAGAGAGTAGAAGATTAAATGTATGGGAATGACACTGACAAGTGTCAAAATTTACGTCAATTCCATATAATTTGATTTTCTATTCTACATGTAGACAAGCGCTAAATGGCATTTGGTTACAGCTGCAGGCGAGATAGTGGCCAAACGTCGGCTCATTAAAAATAAAAACAATGTGTTCACTCACTTGGATATGTCTTATAAGTCCAAACTCCTTGGATGGTAGAAGAGTAATATGTGAAATAGTCAATATCAACATGAACTGTATGAACAGCGGCGGTGTAGTCACGTCTTTCAGCCACTGCAATATGGTATTTTACAAGTAATCAAATCAAATCAAATTCAATCCATTTATCGAAACGTTAAAAAACTATATTGTTCTATGAATTTTGTACCAAAAACTAACTTATGACGTCATAATATTTTCGAGTCCAGTAGCACACTTATTTCTGAAAGAAATGCTAGAATAAATCGAAAATTAAGTATATCGTCAAATATATGAATGAAATTGTAATTATTTTTGAATATTTAATTCGATAGAAAAATGAAAATAATTTATTTTTGACCAAGGAAAATACCCAAATAATTAACACATTGGGTAAATCTAAGATAGCAGCTGACAATTCTTCAGATATAAGAAAGCTCTTGGCATTTATGGTGTCATTCGCTATTAATTTCTTATTTCGAAGCGTATTCCTCTAACATAACTTTCGATAGTTTTCCCATTGTATGCTAAACGAACAGACTCATTTTAATAATAATAATATATAAAGACTTGAAAGCAACAAATAGGAAATTTAAAAATATGACCACTAAAACATATTAGCAATATGACTTTGGTCGACTTGTCGCAAGTACGACTGCCGGGAAAGGGGTCTCGGGTTCGATTCCCGGGTCGGGCAAAGTATTGTTGGGTTTAAAAAAAAATTCTCAGTAGTAGCACGGAGTCTGGAATTGTGCCTAGTATATGGCAAAAGCCTCACCCCCTATTACATGACTCATAATATAATTTATAGTGCAAAGCGGCTGTTACATTGTACAGTGGCATTAAGTGCCGTAATGTGCACCTTAGCCTACACCTTCAAGGATAAAAAGCGTAATGTTATGTTATGTAAAATATATTTCAACAGTTTAATAATTATAATTACCGGTGACATATCCAAAGCGAGAGGGTCGTCAATAATCTTTATTGTAGCATCCATGCTTTTGGAGTAATGCCGAAGTAAGGCCATGAATACACGAGCTAGAGAACGGGCTGCAGCTCCATGGTCGTGGTGGATTGGACTGTACAGAGCTTGGATCTGCAGAAGACATGTCCAGGCAGTCAAATCATATAAAGAACTTTTATACACCAAATAATAAAGGCAGTCTTTTATAAAGCATCGTGAGACATACTAAATTAACTAAAATCGCGTGAAAAAATAGTGAGTCACTTCGTCACTTCTATGTATATACATTTTATACGTAGACATCACGTTTTAGCCCCCACTTCTAAACTTTGATTCGTTTTATCTATTGTTTTGTTATACGACAAAATAAAAATATACGTGTCTAATATTTTTTCATTACATAACTGACGGACTAATTAGATTTTTAATTTTCATACCCTGTCATCTTCCGGATTGAATTGACGGAAAGGATTATTTTATAAAAGACATTTCACAATACCTATGTTATGTTATATGGAGTGTGCTGCAGGCGTAAAAATACGTACATAAACTGTTCCATTCTCATCAGTCGAAACGTCCATACCATAAGCATACATATAGACGTAAAGTTGAGGCGAGTCTATAGCACGAGTCACCAAGTATTCTGTCAGGCTCTGCAAAATAAAAATTTTTTACAGACTAGCTTCTGCCCACGACTTCGTACGAGCAATCCCGTATCTCCCATTCCCGTAGGATTTTCAGGACTTTTTTCTGTCATAAGAACCATCTCCTGACGAAAACAAACACAATAAAAAAAACATCTAAATCGGTCTAGCCGTTCTCAAGTTATGGCGTGGCAACGGGAAACGGGTTTCATGTTTATATGTATAGATTAATAGAATGATTTATTTTCAAAGGAATTTATTTTTTAATTCATTCAAAGAATACTTACTTCAGTGTGTGGCAAAGCTGTGTAATCTATATTTTTAATTTCTTTTTTCTTTGCTTTTGTGTCGGAAAGCACATATCTGAAAAATATTTCAAGCTATAGGCAACTCAAATTTAAAATTGTAGACATTCAACTTATCTACTGACAATTTTTGGATATACACGACCTTTAGTACAGAAGAGAACGGACTGAGAAGAAGAAGAAGGAGGCGAAGAATAAGGATATTAAATAATTGGGTACTTTCCTTAGTTAAAAATAAACTATTTCGACTGTAAAACACAATAAAATATTAAAAATAATCACACTTTCATTATTTGATTTTATGACCAACTTAATTTTAGTATTTTTCTAGCATTTTTTTAAAGAAATAAGTATGTATGCTGTTTGACGCTAAAAAACGTGACGTCACAATACACAATCTCGTACAAAATTCATAGAAAACTGTCGTTTTTGACAGTTCGAAAAAGGTATTGAATTTGACTAGTTGGCTAGTACCCAATTATATCATGCACCATAAAGCCTATTTGTTATCAAAAGAAAGAACTACATTATTATTTATTTAGTTCTTTACATAATACGATCTAACTGATTACTTACAGTCAATTAGATATTTTAATTTTGTAAACTTACTGACCCGTGGGCGATAGATCGACTGGCAGTAGAATTGTCAGCACGAAGTACCAAAGTGGTATAAATCTGCAAACTCTCCACGGACAATGTCTGAATCTACATAAGAGTATAATTCATAAATTATTAACATTATCTGACAACATTCCTTTTACCGTAATTAGGACATGAGATTTCGGATTCAATTCCCATGTTTGGCTGGCTGGCTAAAAACCGTTTCGGATTCCGAGGAAAGCCTTTTCTCGAATTCCTCATTATCAACAGCCTATAAATGCCCACTGCTGAGCAAAGCCTCTTCTAACACGGAGAAGGTTTGAGTATTAATCACCACGCTTGCTCAATGCGGGTTGGCGATGACAAACTTATAATTATAAATTATAAGCCCAGGTTTCCTCACGATGTTTTCCTTCACCGTTTGTCAGTGGTGTCTAGATAATCTTAGAAAGTACATATAACTCGGAAAATATCACACTGGTACATGCCGTTGGTAGGTTTCGAATCCGTACCCTCATGCATGAGAAGCGGGCGTCTTAAACCTCCGGGCCACCACGACATTTTTCTAGAATTTTTAATTTAAAACTATGAATTACACGTATGTAAATTACTTGGCTGAAACTGTGGATTACAATTACATACTAGCGAAAAGTAAAGCTACTTTATATAGTATTAAATACACTTATATCTGTATCATAAGTGGTTTTTAATGTTATGGAAACTTACACCACCGCTGATAATTTTTTTGGAACCCTTGCCAGGGTCCATATGAGTGAGCACGGAAGACAGGGACAGCCCTAAGGCAACACCTGCTGTCAGCGCAGCTAATAACTGCAACAAATTAATTAGAGACTCCCTCACTTTTTCATCCACTGCTTGGCTCCTATTGATCGCAGTGTGATGTTTTATAGCCTACAGCTTAAAGATAAAGATAGTTTTATTTGCCAAAACATGTGTAGGTTACAATAATACATGCAAAAATGAATGTTTACTTTATAGTAAACATTAAAGCTCTATAGCTTTTCTCGATAAATAGACCATCCAAAACAAAAATTATTATTCAATTCGGATGAGTATTTCTGGAGATTGGTGCGCTTAAACACACAAAGAAATAAACTAGTTGAAGATGTAATTGACTGAATACTTTGGCAGTAATGGGCCGGTTTGACCAGAAAAATATATTTATAAAAATATTTTCAATCTCACCCCCTATTACATGGGATTCATAACATAAATAGAGAAAAAGCGGGTTAATGTGCACCTCTGCCTACCCTTTGGGGAAAAACAAAAAGGAAACAAATTACACGATGTATTATAAAGTACGATTATTGTACTTTGAAATTTGATTGTCCTGAAGAAAGCATGTACATTGCTACCTACCTATTAGATAATGTCTTACCGTGATTGTAAACAGGAGTTTATGATAAATGTGAAACGTGAAGAACTTGTGAGCGATGCTGCCGAGATGCAAATTTTTATAAGACGTTCGTCGTATCCATCTAACGGGTTCTATAACAAAAAGATGAATTAGGTTCAATATTTTATAACCTATATTAAATTATTCTATAGAAAGCGACACCAAATGTAAGTACTAATGGTCACATACAGTCGCGGAGAACCTAAAGGGTAACCGGGGCTCCGGCTCGACGTGCAGGAGAAGGAACGGGGTGGTTTTTAGTCAGTAAGAGTCTGACACTCCCTCCTGCCTCACCCAGGCGGGAGCAGTCATTCGATGATTTTCCCCTCTTAAAAAAAAATTGTCCCATACTAGTAGGGTTGCCAACTGTTTTTAACGAAAAAAACGTTTACATAATATATACATAATATCACGCCTTTCATCCCCGAAGGGGTAGGCAGAGGTGCACATAGAAGTAACACCCACTTTTCACTATTTATGTTATGAGTCCCATGTAATAGGGGGTGAGCCTATTGCTAGGTATACAGAGTTATGCCCAAACGGTGTTAATAAATATTTTCAGATACATATTTTCTTAACCTATATTTAAACATGGCAGTCGACTGACATTTCTTAATATTATTTGGCAAATTATTATACAATTGTGTTCCCTCATATGTTATATGCTCCCTCATATAAATTTTATTTCAATAGGAAAAATATAGTATTTACAAGAAAAAAGTATGTGTTAATCTTATTTTTCAATTTCGGAATCACTCTTCATTTTAAGTATTAATTTTCACTTGTACCTAGTTTCTTTAATTACCTATACAAAAACGAAAATTTTGTTCAGCAATTATATGTCGTTTACCACATTTTTTTTTAACTTATAAACACCGTTAAATAGTTAGTACCGTGTTATTCCACGCATTACAATAAAGGTTAGAAAAAAGTATATTTACATACTTTATTTGTATGTAAAAGTATAAAGTATGATTACCAAAAATAAAGTAGAATACGTTATTATAAAGTATGGTTGGCAACCCTACATACAAGACTTCCACACAAGAGTGTATAAGAAAATGTACTAAGTGTGGGAGGGCCATGGTTCAGCACCAATGGGCCGGCTCGACCGGAGTGATACC